TTAGATGAAAATTGGTATGGAGATAGTTCGAAACCTTGGGAAGGACATAGGATAACTTTTACACCAGAAATCATGCCTTAAGGAGGCGAAATGGAGGGTGGAAATTTTTATGGGGAATCAATCATTTATCCTCTTACCTATGTATGTATATATATATGTATATATATATATATATATATATATATATAGTCTATCTATTCCATCCTAATAGTCATAACGTACCTAGGAACGGACCCGAGCGAAAGGAGAGCGAACCGCTAGTTTTATCCTAAAAGATTATTACAAATATGATATAAGACCTCTTAAACCCATATTTTCATTTTCTTTGTAAACATGGCTCGAGTCTAACCTTCTGCCTGTTAAAACCTATAGGGAATTTTCCAATAAGTGTAACCTTCAGTCATATTACGTTATCTGTTATTCTATACATGAATTCGTTAATAGATAATAAAATTGAGTCATAACCTAAGTTATTTTTGACATTGCTAAGGTTACCTTGTGCTGTTACATAGTTAACCGTGTTGTGTTAAGTCAAAAAATATAATATGGACTAGATTAATGCCTGAACGACCGCGGACACGACGGTGCGCGTTACAGTTAACAATAGATTTCTTAGAAATTTACCTGGAGGTGTAATTCTAACAATTTCATTACAATTTAATTATCTTTGCTAATAATATAACTACTAATTAAAACGATAACATTCAGTTAAACAATAAATCGTCAGATAGTGCAGAAAAGCTATTTTCTTAAAATCTAATTTTAATGTAATCTTGTTTTGTAGAGAGAATTTTCATTACAGATGCGATTCAAATAATATGTAATTATAGTTTTTTTTTCATTGAATGATTTGAGTCTGAGAAAACGACCGCAACTATGGTCGCCATCCACGAACTGTTTACAATAAACTTTCTTAGATTTACGCGAATATTTGACATTTTAAATAAAACTATCTTTTCGGACTTTTAAATTCGCGAAAATATTCCTAAAAGTTAGTTTTATTTAAAATGTTTACATTATGTTATCACGTTACGTAACCTCGGTGACTACCATATGTATGCTTATCCTATGTATTTCTCCAGGTTATAATCTATCTGTGTACCAAATTTCATCCAAATCAGTCAGGTCATTTCTGCGTAAAGAAGTAACAAACATACAAAATAGTGATCCGATTATGTAACGCCTCGCACTATGAGACTAACACGTGACCACGATTATAGTACAAATAGGTCGCTGGAAACGTGATTTCGGTCACTCAGTGTGTCTGTGTCACAGCCTAATTGCTATGAGAAGAGCAATAAAAAAAATGTATAGTTATACATTTAGGTCTGTTCTTTTCGTGGAGAAACATCTATTTCTCATATATACAACCTAAAACTATAGATACTTATTTCATTGAGGTGTTATCATTATGTAAAAAAATATAAAAAGATATATTGGGACATAAACACACAGCACCATCTAGTTCCATGGTAAGCTACGAGGTCCGAGTTCTGGATACCAGATAGTTGATACACTACACTGAAGTACAAACATTCGTGCTCATCACACAAATGAATGCCCCCAGCGGGATTCGAACCCGCGACCGCTGGCACAGCAAGTACACACTACAACTGAGCCAAACGTCATCGTATTAAGTCTATCATTTCTTTTTTCATTTTCATATCACAATAAACAAAATAAGAATTAAATATTTGATGTACATATATTTAAATAAATAAAATTTGCGGGTTAACAATCGTCTGAATCTTTCGTCTTTTATGTCATGGTGAATTTAAATGTTTCAACTCAATTGAACGCTTTTAGTCAATCGACCAAAGTCGCCATTACTTAATTTCTTTTGGGGTTCTTTATTCGACTTTCGTTTGATGCTACTATCTAAAGAATTGTACTGGAATAAAAAAAAAAACATGATAGCGAATTTAAAAGTATAATTTATTTATTCGTAATAATATTACTGCATTGAATTCTGAAATATTGCATCTATATATAATGAATGTGTAAGAATTAAGTATCATTTACAAATACATACATATTATTACATACTGCGTGTTTAAAAGTACTTCATGTGTTAGAAATTTTACATTTATAAATTATTAAAAAATCGATTTGCTCTGCACAAGCATAGGTATATTATTTAGAAAATATATTAACAAATTAAGACTAAGAACGTCATTTTTTGTAAAATAATCGATTATTTAATTAATTGAAAAGGAAATTAATAAATAAAGTGTTAATTATCTAATTCTTCTTATCTAAACTATATTACATATAATAATATATACTTAGCGTAATGCATATTTATTATTTATCCGATAGTTTCTAATAAACGTAGATAGACTAAACAAAACGATTTATGAATCGTACCTACATGCTGTTATTTATAATTACAGTGTAAAATTAATTAACTTGGGCATATTATAATCTGTGCATCTTTGAATAGATTTGAATTTTTTATGAAATATTCGTGTTAGAAAGGTTTTGTTATCTATAATTATCTTTTGTGATTAGCCTTCGTATGCTCTGTAGACTATAAGTCTACGTAGACAATGTCAAAAGCGACCGGTAAATGAAAAGTATTGTAAAAGTATGTTTATATTCAGCGATACATTTACAATTAATAACTATCAAATAACAAATACGTAAATACACGAGGTAATAACACAAAGTCACAGTAATAATATTTAAATATAGTTAAAACGAAAAATTATTAGCTATTTCATGCACAACGTATTAACTATCAATTTTACAAAAGAATAATATTTTCATCATTTTATTAAAACTATTTACTATTTTTGCAGTATATTATCGTTATTCAAGATTTTGTTACTAAGCGTATTCTAAAACCGGCTACACGTTTATAAAATTTTTGAGCCCGAGTTCAATTATATTATAGCAAAATAATAAATAATCAAGCAACATATTATTGAGAACTTAGAAATGAAATTTTCATGAAGCTATGCGAATAAGTTCAAAGTAAGTTAAATATTGATAAAAGATAAGTCTACGTTATTAGATTCAAACGGGTGAAATTTAATACAAAATTGTTTTAACAGTAAGTCACTTTAGCGTATTGAAAGTATTATAAACAAATATAAAGGTAGTAAAACTGACCCATTGCCTAGAACTGTTACAATGTATAGACCTGTACTTGCTTTCTATCATTTGTTTACTTTACGTAGCATTGATAGTTTAATGGTGTAAGATAATATTCCATACATGACGTAATCTAACTCGCTGCCAAATGGGTTACAAGGCGTCAACGGTGCACCGTACACAATCATCAATGACTAAACTTTTTCCCTTCACGCTAGATGCCAAGGTCAACTACACGACCGGCTCAAATCTGACCGATTATAATAAACAAAACTCACCTGTTCTTTTCCAACTCGTTATGAGTGGTCCTGGAACAGAAAACAGAATTTGTAACCACTGTAACACTTCACAAACAAACACTTAAAACTTATCACTGATCACTCAACACACCTGCTGCCCTGAGATTTTTTCGTCTTCGGCCGTCTGCCACCAACCCGTGACTCTTCGTAGGGCAAACTCGACGCGTACCCGTGCTCACTCTCTGCAACAAAGAAAACTGCAATTCCGTCAAAATCAGCTGATTATCGCGAGGCAAAAATAGACGGGAGCCATGTTGACGTGTGCGAGTAGTGTAATTGACAATTCAAACAAAGAAAACCCAATTCACCTCTATCTCGCCTTTCGATGTATTCAGCAGCTTGGATGAGGTCAGCAATACTCATATTTATAAAATCCCGGTAAAACACAGGTGTTCACGAACGTCACACGACTTTATTCGATTGAAAACTATAAATAACAGTGTATCAGTCCGCTCCGAAGTCCACGACTGCATTTACCGATGTCAAAAACACACTAAGCGACTAGGGACGCGCGATCGCGTACAGCGCTTCGTGATTAGTCGGGTGTGTTCGGGCGTCGCTCGGCCGACCAATCAGCGACGCGCATTCCCCACAATAAAATACCTGGGTCAATCACGTGAACTTTGTGTTTCCAAACAAAACATTTTTTTTTTCTACACGCTTCAAGTACGGTTCGCAAAGGTGGTATTCTAATAGGACATTTGAATCGACGATGCACTTAGTAAATGGGTGTCACTTTAAATATTTTTTAACATTTTTAATTAATATTGTTATTATATTTTAATGACAATATTAATAGCTTTTAAATAATCTAGTCTTATGAAAATCACTTTGTGACGATATTTTATATTATAATAATTTTCAAATGGAACTCTCTGATACTTAAAATTAATAATAATAAAAGGTAATAATAGGTCTTATTTATGTAACGTCTAAATAACGTTATTTTATATAAATGCAATTTTGTTAACATGATTTATATTTATAACATAAACTTAAAAAATATACACTAACTTAATAACTTACAATTTTTTTTAAAATAACATTGAACAACGAAAAATTAAGTGACTCAATTTATTTAATTAGCCAATCGCAGCTTTGTTCAGTTCAGGACCAGCTATTTTGTTTGGCCGACGTCGAATCGTTTGCATAAACAACTTTTATATTATATAAAATATCGCACATTGCCTAAATAACATATATAAGAAGGCATAAGTATTACATAATCATATTTAAAAATTAAATACTTTGAGCCCCTCAACCTTGTATAAGCTCAAAATAATAAAATCATGAACCACACCACCAATAGTAGTTCTAGTCACGCTTTCTGTTATAGAAACCGGTATAAAGTTCTACTTTGCAATTGCAAACATTAAAACTTATGTAGTAATCGAACCTATGACCTTTATTTCGTTTTTTTTTTAATTTTAAATTTTATTCGCTGATTGGTTCTACGCCATCTTTATTATGTTCCTATACATTTACTTAAATATTTATTTTATATACAAAAACTTTATTTATGCACGATTGTCCTCTAAAATTTCAATGTCATGGTTACGTTATTATCACTTTATCTTTTGGTCGATTAGAAAAAGTGACATATCATCTTTGTGTTATGTAAAACAAAGTTGGGTTTGAAAATAAAATTATCGTATACATTTGCGAGACACTTTTAATATTTAATATTCGTAAACATAATTTCAATGTATTGTTTAATATCGTTAATAAATGAATTCTGGCAAACATGACTGGCAGCAGATGTTTTCGGGGTTCCTTGAACAAAAGAAATAGGTCTAATTGAGGGAATCTATTATCAAGAATAATTCGTCAAAACCAATCACTTATAATTTATTTCAACTATTTCTTATATTTTAAAACTTAAAATCTTTATTTTTCCAAATATAACTTAACAGAATTATAAATATTATAAACTTGTATATAAATTATCTTCTTTACATATGGAATATCATTTGATTTTAAATGCCACCGGTAGTGTTTTAAATTAAACAAAAAAACTTACAGTTAATATCCTTACTCTTCTATAGTACTGACTAAATGTTTTGACCATTGAACTTAAGTAATTGCATATTAAATGTGGCCTAAATTCACATCTTGTTTCACTTAACTCCACACAATTTTTTATCAAAGATGGTAGACCCATGATATAGTTGAAAATAAGATACCATTCGTCCTGAAACAAATAACATAATTAGATTCATATTTAAGACACTCAATTATTGTTATTCGAATGCTTATTTCAAAAACTAAAGGAAATTAAAAATACTAATATTCGGCCAGTGGTACCTATTCAATAATAATTAATCATTATTAAAAATTTGGAGAAAACATACAGATATGAACAGAATTCATCTATCTATATAAAAAACTTCTTTTTTTTTAATTAATAACACTAAAGATTAATTAATTAAGTTAAGCTATACATATAATAAATTCTAACTAAGCCAAATGTGAACATTAAATATTTTTTTGAAAATCTTATAAAAATGGACATTATTATACTATAGATGCAGAGGCCGAATCTATAGTGTTTAGAATTTTTATCTGTCTGTCTATGAACGCATCACGGAAAACCCACTTTGGATTTTGATGAAATTTGGTATGGTGATAGCTGGTTATCCGGGTCAACATATAGGATACTTTTTACTGCGGGAAAATATCTCATCTCTGAGAAATCTATACTAAACGTTGAAAAGTAAGTAGGGACGAACCTAAGAAAAAACAGTTAAAACGGAGGTGAAAAAGTTACTAAACTGTTTTGTCTTTGACTATTTATATATAGATACTACGAGTACTTACAATTTATATTTTATTGCATACTAAAGATAAATTAGTTTGACTTCAAAAAATAATTTAGGATTACATTTTTCCATAAGTCAAATTTACATTACGAAATTACTGGCATAAAAATAGTTTTGCGACACTAATTTCATCAACAATTTCACGTGCAAACGTCGCTTCGATCGGGTTCGTCCTAGGGACGTTGATTCCCCATACAAACTTTCATCTCCATTTTCATCCCCTTAAGGGATAACTTCCGGGATAAAAAGGTATTCTATGTCCTTTTAAATAAAAGGATCTTTTTTGATGATTTCGCGGATTTATTCTGATTTTTGTTCCCGACGGTAGTTTCATACAAACTTTCATTGCCTATTTTATACCCCCTTAAAGGATAAATTTCAAAAAATGCTAAAACATGTATTTATTTAATTTTATTGAAGAGCATTAATACAAACTTTCAAGTAATTCTAATAATAAAAGATTTTTTAGGTTGTATTAGGTATAACGTGTTTTCCCGTGGGAATGAGATAATCTCCCGCGGTAAAAAGTATGTCTGCTTATGTCACTCTCCAGCCCTTCAACTATCTCCACACAAAAAATCACGCCAATCCCTCACTCCGTTTCGACGTGAAAGAAGGACAGACAAATAAACAAACACACTTTCACATTTATAATATTAGTATGGCTTATTACATTCATAGGTACTGTATTTAAAAAGTCATCAAGTATTATCAAGAACCTACCCTAATTTGTTTTATAAAAAAGGCCACAAAATTAATCCCACTAGCATCACACTAATAATATACACGACAATGCTTTGTAAGTCTGTTTGTCTTTATGTATTTCAGTAAAAGATGAAATGGAAAAACCTTACATAAATAAAATCAACAGATGTAGTATTTTCTATCCAAATATCTACCACACAAGACAAAGTAACACAAGGCAAGTTAGTAAATAGAATATTTTTTATTTATGAAATGTCTAAGAAAGTATTATATGAAATGTATTTGCAAATCTCTTCTATCTAAACTAATATTATAAAGAGGCAGAGTTTGTTTGAACGCGCTAATCTCAGCAAATATTCGTTTTGAAAAATTCCTTTTGCATTTATTGAAGAAGGCTATTGGCTATATATCATCCCGGAAAAATGTACGGTTCCCGTGGGATAATTTCTTTTTGTCCAGAGACGAACCCGAATCGAAGCGAGAGTGATTCGCTATTAATATTATAAATGCTACCCTACTTATCATAAAATTATTTTTAAATACATAATATTTATAAGTTTTTATTTATTACTGATAATAATGACCTCGGAATTGATTTCAGCAATGGCTGCCAATCTCATTGAGACTAGCTAACTAAGCAGATAATATAGTATAGTGTACACAAACAAGTGCACTATCTATTCTATTCACTCCCAAATATAGCTGTTGGGACAATCAACTCGACCAGAGAGTGATCAGAGCATAACAAAAAACATAACATACTCTCCGAGACATAGAAGCGCAATAACACCAAATTCCTAACATCGGATTGTTACTGAGAATTTCTTGACAGAAAACCCAATATGCTATATTTAGCCCAACTAAGGACTCAAACCCAGGACACCCAAACATGCGGCCGTTTGTAATAACAATTAAACCAACTAGGCAGTTTATTACCTCATCAGTTAATAATGATAAATCAATGTTCTCTAAAGAAGGTAAACATGGATAGATCCCTTCTGCTACTTTCTCATTGAAAGTCCTCAGTATTGTTTCTAATCTGGCACTGTTGTACAAAATAAACGCTGCACCTGTAAATAAATTAAAATGATTATAGTTTTAAAAAGCAAAAAACACACTTAAAGATCTGTAATGTATAGGACTGATCAAAATGAAGATATAGGAAACCCAAACATATACATAATTATGTATTTACTATACTTATTGAAGAAATCCACTATCTGTCTTTTGGTTCGAGGCATCTATTCAATACAATAGTATCAAATTATTGTGATTCTGTTTTGACATATTTTCAAAGTATGAATCAATATGGCAAATAGAAATAAGTTAATATTGATTTTGCAGTGTTTATTAAGGATTTACTTCCTATCTACACATTATAATTTGATTTAGTTTTAAAAAATCTTATTTTACAGACAAATTTAGTTTGTTTATTCAACATTCTATGTGACATTGGTGAAATAATCTGTACTCAACTGGTATGCCTTCGAAATCCTTTCGAAATTCTTTTTTGAAATCATTAACAAGAGAATTTAATTAATTACATAGCTTCATGAGCATATAAGAGAGTTAAATGTGTGATTGACTGATTATTTGGATGGAGAGACCAGTTATCAATATTTTATAAAAGATGATAATAACAGAAAGGTATTGCATAAAGGTTAGCACTACATACTTAATATTGGCAAAGCCCTCGGTTTGATTCTAAAGTAAAAACTTAAAAAAATGAAGTAAAATTACAATATTTTTATGTGATTTTTTTTTCCTAAAGATAAAGAGTAAAAATATTATTTAAACATACAACACTATCTATTACATAGAAAAAATGATCAATTAACAGTAACTTAGAATTTGCTGTTACCTTTACTTGATCCACTAGAAGCATCAAACAATATTTTCACAGGGCTAGAACATTTTGTTTGCAACAACTCAAAAGCAACTGCGGATTCTCCCAAGTGAGATATAAACTCCTTCCATTTTTTATCTGTCGATACTCTTACTCCATATTTGTGTTGAGCTATCAATGTTAACTCGTCTTGTCTTATTCTGAAAACAAAGTTAACTAAGTTATACATAGTTACGTTTTATAATGTGGACAATGAACATACTTAGCAATTAGTCTACATATGAATTAAATTTATTGTTATATAATTAATGTATTGCTAAAATTATAAATTGTAACTTTTTTTTAAAATTCTGTCAAAAATAAAATCAGATTTCAAACAAAGTATTCAACTATCTTATTCATATTATATTTTAATTTAATACTAGCGACTCACAACAGGTCCGTCCCTAGGTATGTTTTAACGGTTAGTATGAAATACAAATGTTTAAATTTCTCAGCTATTTAGTACATATTGTTTACAAAAACATTCATATAAACCTTCCTCTTGAATCACTCTATCTATGGCTGAAAACTGCATTAAAATCCATTTAATAGTTTAAAAGAACAAAGAGAACAGACAGTAGAGGTGACTTCATTTTATGCTTTGTAAAGATAATCACTGTTATTTTGAAGTGATTGTAATGCTAGATATTATTTTAATATTATATTGAAAAACTTTGAATAAATTGTAGGAATATTATTTTCTTAGCTTTATGCATGATTTTTTTAGGAATCACAAAATGTAAATCATTTTAAATAATAAAATTAATAAAGATATTAGACCTTATATATTCATCAGCAGTGATTGTATTTTCTTTAGTTCCACTTTTCGCATTTAAGACAGCACCACAGAACACAATATTGCTATCTTTAATTTCTGATTTAGATTTCCATGTGAGAAGAACGTGCACATTTTGGGGATGTAAGTTAATTAAATACAAATTCTTTACCACATCTCTTAAAACTTTCAGTCGCAAATAGGTTATGGAGTTTGTTTCTTTACAACTGCAGTCTACGGTTACTACATTAGTGTCGATATTTATTCTTTTTATTATATAGTCATTATTGTATGAAACGCTTTGACAGCACGCTTGAATAGATTTTAAGCGGTCAACGTACAAGTGTATTCGGTCTTTCAGCTCAATTGCTTTCACTATAGATATTTCCCAATTTCGTGACGTTTCTATTAAATTTGTAACATCTTTGTTAATACATTTCAATAGCGAGCAGTCTAAGTTTTGCAATTGCTCGTATTGTAAGAACTGTTGCCACGATTTCGCTGAATTGGGAAAACTAAAATCGCCGTGCGTTTGTAAATTTGATGAATGTTTCTTCACTAAAAGTCCTGGTAAATATTCTTCCTTTCTAACTAAATATTTATATAAAGCAGTAATAAAGTTAGTTATATCATCTTGAAGCATTTTTTGACAATAATCTTAAAATTTTTAATAACATTAACACATGTACGTTGACATTTGACGAGTAAGACTTACATACTCTATGACTTTATTTATATATGTAGCAATATACTCTATGTCTATGACACACATGGTGATGGTGGTGTGCACTCATGGACTTATTAAATAACTAGCGGCTCACCCTCGCTTCGCTCGGGTTCACCTCTAGAAAAGCACAAACAGATCTATCCCACGGGAACCGTTCATTTTTCCGGGATAAAAATAAGTAACCTGTTGTTTGACCTGCAATATTATCAGCTTAGTATCAGCATGCCAAATTTTACTAAATTAGGTGCATAAGTTGTTGTGTACTGAGCTGTATAAGTTACTATAATTTTTTAACTATCCCACGGGAACTCTTTAATTTTCCGGAATGAAAAGTATCAAATTTAATTTAAATAGGTTCAATAGTATTGGAGATTAGCCCGTACGAACAGACAAATAGACAGAGAAACAAAAAATTTGAAAAAATCTGGATTTGTTCTATTTCTCTCCTTACGGGATGTAAGAAAAAAACTGACTCGTTTTTTAGCAATTTTTTCTACCATCTATGTACAGACATTCGACCTCTACAGTTTTATTATTTATATATGTACCTATATTCAGATAGAATAAATAACGTATAATAAAACAGAAATATATAATAATGAAAATAGTTATAGCGAGTGTACCTTAGGAGATATACATATACTATGTAGAACTTTTCTATAGACCTTTTTAAGACTTACAATTTTCTTACAATGTTTTGATCTATCTCTTAAGGTTGAGCCAACGTAAGCCATATAAATTTCTAAGGACAATTCGATAAAACCAGTTATTGTATTTTCCCGTGGGAATGAATAATTTGCCTGTCGTAAAAATTATTCTAAATGTTGACCCGAGCACTAAGTTTTATCATTATACAAAATTAAGTTAAAATCGGTTGAGTAACTTTTGCGTGAAACGCGCACATCGATTTGACTTAGTTTTATTATAGGTATAGATAAGAATAAATATTGCGAGTGTAACTTAGAAGATAGACATATACTATTCAGAACTTTTCTGTAGGACTTTTCAAAACCTACAATTTTTTAGTACATTGTTTTGATGTATGTCTTAAGGCTTAGCCAGAGGAAGGTTTCTGGGGAGGATTCGATAAAACCAGTTATTGTATTTTCCCGTGGGAAAGGAAGATTTTCTTTAAGTAAAAGTTATCTAGACAGTGGTATCCCAGTGGTAACGCGCTCGCTTGGGAAACCGAGTGAAGCAAGTTCAAATCCCGGGTCTCGCACCTCTGATATTTTCATGTGCGAATCATTTCTAACACAATTGCCTCTTGTCTTAACGGTGAAGGAAAACCTGCATGTCTGACAGAACCTATCAAGTTTTCGAAAGACCTGTCAAGTCCACCAACCCGCACTTGGCCAGCGTGGTGGACTATGGCCTGATCTACCTCGTACTGAAGGGAGGCCCGTGCATGTGTTAAAAAAGGCTGAATACAACATACATACATACAAAAGGTAACCTAAATGTTGACTCGAGTAATAAGTTATCATTTCACCAAATTTCGTTGAAATTGGTACATTACTTTTCGCGTGAAACGCACACACAAAAACAGACAAACAGGCATTTTTTTTAATAACTATTGTTTTGGGGTCTATGTTGTGTACATAATACGTTACAAATAAACAAAAACATCTATCCCACGGGAAAAGTACATTTTACCGGGATACACAGTTACCTATTTGTTATTCTAATGTATTAACTATATTATTGTAAAGTTTCATCAAAATCCAATCAGTGGTTTTTGTGTACTAAGCTGTATAAGTTACTACAGTTTTTTGACTATCCCACGGAAACTCTTTAATTTTCCGGGATGAAAAGTAGCTGATTTGTTTTTGTCATGTATGAATTATATTGTTGTAAAGTATCATTAAAATCCAATCAGTAGTTTTTGTGTACTAAGCTGTATAAGTTGTTATAGTTTTTTAACTATCCCACGGGAACTCTTTAATTTTCCGGGATGAAAAGTATCTAAAATGTTGCCCGGGGATATAAGGTACCACCATGCAAAATTTCATTTAAATAGGTCCAATAGATCCGGAGATTAGCCCGTACAAAGAGAAAAACAGATAAACAGCTCGCTCGGGTTCGTCCATACATACGAATATGTTGTATTATCTCTTTAACCATTTGTCCAAATTATATGCAGTAAAAGGGAAAAGTCTTTTATTTTAAATGTTTTAGACGATAAATTTACTTATTTTGATAAGAATTCATAATTGTTGATAATATGACCAATAAACATGACCTACCGATTTAAATGATTTTTTTATTATAAAAAACTACTTTTTGTGACTTAAATATAAAAGTTAGACATATGCTGTCGCTGACTTTTTTGTAGGCATTATTAAGCTCTACAACTTTTCTCTAGAACATAATCATATATCTCTCATCGTTAAGGCAGCGTTCGTAAGAAACGTTTTCGTTCGACCGTTTTTTCTCCGACTTACTTTGCAAATCCGACTACCACGAAAAAGCCTTTTCATTTTTCGGGTTAATATATAGCCTATGACACTCAGAAAGAACGTGGCTTTCTATTGGTAAAAGAATTTTGAAAATCGGTTCAGTAGATCCAAAGATTACCCCCTACAACGTCACAAACTCACAAGATCACAAACTTTACCTCTTTATAATATTAGTATAGATAAGTCCATGTGTGCACTGTACAGCACTGCTCAGTGAGCACTTGAGCAGGTTCCTGTTTTCCGAAATGCCGTACATTTCCACACAATACCGAAGTGTATAATTGAAACGTGAATTAGTTTTCAAGTACACCGGCAGAGGGCACTAGGTTCAGGGTTGAAAAAAAAAAATATAACTAATATGTATATAATAATAAGATTGTCTATATTATTTTAAGTTATATAATAAATTAGCGACTCACCCTCGCTTCTCTCGGGTTCGCCCCTAGCTTGCTTCCCAATACAAATTTTCATCCCCATTTTCACCCCCTCAAAGAATGATTTCCGGGATAAAAAGTATCTTATGTTCTTCACAGGGTCTCAAATTATCTTCTTACCATCTAAATCGGTTCAGTAGATCCAAAGATTACCTCTACAACGTCACAAACTCACAAACTTTACCCCTCTATAATATTAGTATAGATATATAGGTAATAATATATAACTAATGAATATATAATTATTTAAATAAAATATAAACGAATATTACTAACGTTAATGTAAATAAAATTTTGATCAATGCCACCTTGAAGAAAAAACACTTCTCATATTTTCTGTTATTGAGTTCTTATACTTGCGTGCATCACGCTAAAACAGTACTTTTCAAAATGCTCGATTCAACGGAGCGTTGCTGTAGTTACTAGTTGGAGCATCTGAAGTTAGCATTATGCCGCATAATGCGCTTTCCCTATTTAAAAACTTCAATAGGATCCCATCAAAAGCAACAAAAGCCACATAAAAACCAATAAATATTTATTGGTTTCTATGTGGCTTTTGTCGCTTTTGATGGGATTCTGTTGGAGTTTTTCAACAGGGTAATGCGCTAATTGGTAAACAGGGGGTAACTTGATCCAAGATGGCGGCTACAGAAGTACACGCACGAGCAGGGGCGGCCTTAGCCATTGCGAGGCCCCGGGCAGGAGATCTTTGCGAGGCCCTTATTTTTTATGAAATTTATGTGAATTGAAAATATTTTTAATGATGATTCTTGACGAGAAATATAAAAGATATAAATAAATAAATTTTTAAAAATTGTATATTGCAAATTTAGAAAAGTTAAAAAGCACAAAGAAGACAAAATTATTTTGTCAACATTTTTAGGTTTTGCGTGACTCGCCATTAATTCTATTAGCTCATTTTGAATTATTTTTCAGAGATAGTGGACATTATTTGTATCTTTTTAGTAGCGCTAGATTCACACTAGGGGCACTCCGGGCTAGTGCTCAGGGCGGCAAATTCTTAGAGGCAGCAAAATTCGGAGGGTGGGGAAAAAAATGTCTTCACGTTATCGAACATGCTTTTTTTATTTCCCAAAAAATGAATAATTAAAGAAGATTAACTCGTAGATACATTTTTCGAACAATTAATATCACTTATAAATTATTATTTCTGCATTTTTCAAAAAAAATATTATTGAAACTATTCATTTTATGCAAAGTTGCGATAATAGGGCGGCATTTTTTTATAGTGTCCAGGGGCGGCACTAAGGTTGAATCTGGCACTGCCCTTTAGAATTCACAAGCTCGAAGGAGCTCGGTTGTTTGGAAGGCTTGTGTCCACAGGTCCAACACGTAGATACCCCTTAAGAGATTTAAATGTTTAATATGACGCATATACCGGCATCTATCTCTGAGTAACCCATAAGGAATTGCTTAAATATTGTCCGGACAATGCGTAGGGACTATGGAAAATATGGAAAACTAAAAGAGTCTATGGAATGGAGTTTGGATGTGCTACAAAACTGGGCTATTGGATGAGACAACCGAATGTCCGCCTTCTCAACAGTCTTAGATTCAATATTTGGCAGACGGTGACTCGCCTTCCACTAGTGGCATAGCGCTTCGGCACAACATCAGTGTGGTCGGCTAAGATTATCGAGAAGTGTGCACCGTTTTCACCATCGCATGTGCTTGTGGGTTTCCCCGTTATTTTACAGATTGAGCACTTCTACCCATTCAAGGACTTGGCTCTTGCACTTCACTCTGGGCGGCCAATGAAGGAAAGCCTCTGGGCTAAAGAGTCAATAGTTGTACAGCTTTTTAATCCGTTCTCTAATCCGTTCACAATCCGTTCTCTAAATTTAACCGTTTTAACATACAATCTTTGTGCAGCCGAAGTCGTGTAACTTTAAATATTTACCGAGGTGCTTCCAATTGCAAAGTTCTGCACTGGACCGAATTCTTTATATTCTATTCTGAACAATCGAAAGAAGAAGTAAATGGCATGTTTTGTTTGTGAATAAATCATTTAGTGCTTGTCCAATTTTTCGCCATAAGCTAATATTTTGTTGTAATTATACCTATTCACTGAATCACCGTCTATTATCGTTTACGGTAAAAAAAACCGTCTTAGCGCAGATTGGACCTTTCAATGAAATCTCATTTCGGTTTGCATCAGTAATTGTTGATGGCCATAAACCTGAGTCACTTTAAGTATTGAGTATAAAATTTTCAATTCCGCCACTCATGGGTGAAGACATAGATTTAGATTCGTATTTCTGGCTGGATAGTGTTGACGACGGCGGTGGATTAGCAATAATGTTGTTTACTTACTTTTATCATCGCTAAGTAGCAGCGGCATCCCAGACGATGTCGAAAAAATTATTTCAGCTGCTTTAGGCTTAGAATGCAATAACATGTCACTTTTAGTCACTGGAAGGTCTTAAGGACTTAGAAGCTTCTTGACCATCACCTTTTATATATTTAAATAGAGACCCATACAGTTTTTCTTCTACCTGCTTTCTTTTGATGGCTTGATGCCTTTTTGAACTACCAAACTCAATTTTTCTACTAGCATCACAATCGCGCGAACTCATTTAGAAAATATTTTTTGCACATAAAATTAATAATTAATAAATTACAAGCAGTTGGACGCAGTTTTTTTTCTAATTCACTCTTTACTATAATTACTATAATAACGTAAAATTTAATATCAATGGCTTATTGACTTAAACGCTATATGCTAGTACTAGCGCGATGTGGGTTTTGTAATGTCCGGCGTAAGGCAGGAGATTCTGATACACTTGGGTTGTTATGCGAAGGCGCGAGGCCCCTACAAAAGCGAGGCCCCGGGCGGTTGCCCTGCTTGCCACCCCCTAAGGCCGCCACTGCGCACGAGTAATGAAATAATATATTACTAGGATTATAATCAAAAATAATAAAATTTAAATCCATACTTACTATAATTTTTGTGATAAAAGTAGTATAAGTAATATAAGTGTGTTTGTTTGTTTGTCCTTCTTTCACGTTGAAACGGAGTGACAGATTGGCGTGATTTTTTGTGTGGAGATAGTTGGAGAGCTGGTGAGTGTCATAGGCAGACATACTTTTTACCGCGGGAGATTATCTCATTCCCACGGGAAAACACGTTATACCTAATACAACCTAAAAAATCTTTTATGATTAGAATTACTTAAAACTTGGTATTAAGGTTCTTCAATACAATTAAATGAATTTTTCCCATAAGGGAGGGTAAAATAGGAAATGAAACGCGACAGTATTTTAAGATATGAATATCAAATAGCTAAGTATGAATTTTACGTATCGAAATATATTAGATTTGCTTTCCATCGGCCGGCACCGACTTCGAAAATATCTGATTATTTATCTATTCTAAATGAAAACCCCCGTTTAATTATTTTTTACATGTTAGTGCCTGGAAGTCGGTTTTTTTTTAAGTTTTTATCAGAAGCTCTACTTTTTCAAATACAAAAAATAATGATGAATACGTCTTGTCATCACTAATGATAACTTTTACCAGTAGAGTAAATTGAAGGCCTACTTCGAAAATATAATATATTAGAAAAAAGGACATTATAAAATAAAAAAATAGTAAAAATAAAATAAATACATAATGCACCTATTAAAAACCTGTTATTTAACATTAACAATTAATTCATACAAACGTAATGGGATTATTCAAATAAAAAAATAATATTTAATCTTTTAATTAATCACTACAAGGTTTGAAAGTTAATAGTTTGGATAAAAATGAGCTATTTGTGAAAAATCTTAATTTAAATGTCACGCATCATGAAAACTATTATTTTTTATTCAATATAAATATAAAAGTACGAGTATCTATTTCAAGTTTCAACATGGCTTCAGTAAGTTGATTCGATTGAATAAATTAGCTGACGTCGATATGACGTTGACATTCGCTTTGTCAAATTGTGACAACCAGCTGTACATTTGCACTTTGGCGATTGGGCTTAGAATTTTTAATATTAATATATTTATTTACTAGTCTTAAGTTATTACAATTAATCACATAAAATATGTTGTAAAACAAAAATGTTGCTGTTATACAAGACTTTTTTAATTACAACGTTAGTATGTCAGTTAACTGTAGTGTTCGCGCACGATCACCTACTCGAAGGTATTTATTGCGGTAAGGAAAATTGTTACAATGTGCTGGGAGTTACTAGAGAAGCGACTAAAAATGAAATCGCCAAGAGTTATAGACAACTGGCGCGAAAATATCACCCAGATATGCATAGAGGTGAAAAAGAGAAGAAAGAAGCCGCAGTAGACTTCAACCGTATTGCCACCGCTTATGAGATACTCCGAGATGACGAAGAGAGGTCCGATTACGATTATATGTTGGATAATCCTCAAGAATATTATGCTCACTACTACAGGTATTACAGACGACGTATGGCACCCAAAGTCGACGTGCGAATCGTTTTGGCAGTAACTATCACGATTATCTCCCTCATTCAGTACTATAGTGCCTGGTCTAAGTATGATACAGCAATAAAATATTTCATGACAATACCAAAGTACAGAAACCGAGCTTTAGAAATAGCTAAAGTTGAAGCAAAAGAATCTCAAGCCAAGAACAAATCTGCCCGGAAAAGTAAAGCAGAAATGAAAGAGGAACAAGACAGAATAATAAGGAGAGTTATAGAAGAAAACATGGACATTAAAGGAGGCTATGCTAAGCCAGAAATTAAAGACATACTTTGGGTACAATTAATAATTTTGCCTTATACAATAGCATATTATATTTATTGGTATTTAAGATGGATTTGGAAATTTACAATATTGAAACAACCTTACGGCACTGAAGAAAAGTTGCATTTAATAAGAAAATATATGAAACTGGGTCAGTACCAGTTTAATGCATTAGAAGAAGATGAAAAGCAGGAGTACTTAGACGAAGAGTTATGGATTAAAGAAAATTTCCGAGTGTGGAAGGAAATGAAAGACGAAGAAACTAAGAAAGCTTTAGCTGAAAACAATAAATATAAACAGTATAGGAGGTATATTAAATCCCATGGTGTTGGTCGAATGACCTTTGATGATTCATGATAGTTGTTGTTGTCATTTTTTATTTTAATGTTAAACATCTTGTAACTTTGATTTTATGATGTGAATTTTATGTCTTGACTGAAACTTTATTTATTACCATTTTTCTTATATCAAGTGCATACAAATAAAACCAATGTTTACACAATTCAATATTTTATTTTTATCTCTGTTACTTCAACATACTACATGATATAACCACACATTCATAATTTACAAACATCACAAATGGCAATTCGGTAAGGCATTCTAAAGGTCAGAGCATGAAGCCTTGCTTTACATCCACATACACTCCAGGTGTTTTATATATATTCCAAGGCAAATAACTAATCTGTAATAAAATTGCTCACAAATTTATACAATTGAAACACTTAATGAAGTTGACCATATTCCCTGAAGAATAAAATAAGGAAAAAAAGTTGCAACACAATATAGATCAGAAAAATGTTATTTTAAATAAAATTAATATATTTGAAAGGGTATAATTTACAAGTTTCGAATTAAACAAAATTAAAGCCAAGAATGAGCACAACACATTGTACATTGTAATCAGAACTAAGCGCAGGATATATTACATAATTACAATATTGAAATTTGTAAATAGACCATAAAGTAAAAGTGATTGTCGGACCGACCGGCTTGAACCTTTTAGGCGCCATTTTTTATTTCTAAATATAAATGATTTCGACCGAAGATTCCGTTGGGTTTTAATGGGTAGTAATGGCTTTTTTAGCCTGTGAGTCCATCATACAAGTCATTATCATACACAAACGCATTATGTATTGAAAATATGACCTGGGCGGCCGCACGGGTCGACCCCCCTCTCCTAAAGCCGGCCCCTATATTTTTATTTAGATGGACAAAGTAAAAACAATAAAAAATACTAATTTTATTACAGATAAGTAAATATAAAGTTACATCGAGATCCTTATATTGACATACAGATATTTTATGTACTTACTCATACCCCGAAAATCAATTAAAATTGTACATATATTTGCAATGGCAGTGCATTCATATTATTATGTTCAACAACATTCATCTCTATAATGATACATTGTACTGAAACAAATATATAATTTACCAATCATTTCTTAATCAACTATTTAATTTTTTGTCTACTCAAATTATATTAATATTACATAATATTAAATGTCTAACAAAAACATGAAATTTAATTATTTATAAGGCCACAAAAAAGTTGAAAATCGTATGAAATTTAGCTATCACAATTAATGGATTAAAATTTTAATATTAAATTAAAAAAAAATATATATTAAAAAAAACTGTTTCATAATTATGTTAAAAAAATAAAAAAAAATAACAAAAAGATTTCTATTAAAAACGTACATAGTCTATATGTCATTTCTTATTCACCTATTGTATTATGTACAAAATCTTTAGGAAGAAATATTTTTAATTCAAAATACATGACATTCAATTATGCAGCCAACTGTAATATGAAACTTCAAAAATATCTCATTTCATTGATGCAACTACACCTTATTTTTATAATAATTAATTAGGCTACTTCGATACATTTTTTATTTCTCACTGTATGATTATATTGAAATTGAATATTTTCTATCTAAGTTCAATGACTTTTGTCATAAAATGTGCATATGGGGTATTCCACGCCAAATCGAACTGTTCCAAAAAAAAAATTTTTATTCACTTAATATTTTGGTATTCTTTATTACTCTATACTAACTAAAAAAAACACCAAAATATTAAAAAAATCAAAAATATTTTTTTTGAAACCGATTTGGAATGCCCCTTTATATATTTTTTTTTTGGAATAACAAGAAACATAAATAATTGACTATATCGACATTTACCGAGCTTCTAACAATGTTCCCGTGCAAGTAGAATGTTATTTTGGGAGAATTTATGGATTTAGGAATATGAAATGTACTTCGATGTATGTTATTTTTCCGCATTTGTGGCTGATTTTTTTGTGGAGCCAATTGTTGACAGATTTTTAATTATTTGATTATAATGATGATGTTCGCTGGCAATTTTTCTATATTAGTTGTTTTTACAAGAATTAGGTTTTGATTTTATCCTAAATCAATTTACTTTGTACGTACAGTTCCCTGCATTATTTCTAATGTTCATATTTACAGTGTTTCAAATTTATCGCACATTTATGTTATATTATGGTGAATTCTGATATAGTCGTAAAATACAATCGAAGATTCAGCTCTCAAGTTACAAAAAAACCCTTAGAGATAGTGACGTAGCTATACCAATGCAACCAATACGGTCGCATGGGCCCTGATTCAAGGGGGCCCCAGCGAGCCACAAACGATTCATTTATTTCAAAACATTTTATCGAGGACGGCCCTCATTGAAATTTAAAAAAAAACCGCAAGAATGTTCTAAATTTCCGCATATTAATTTTTAGGAAAACCACGAGGAACGTGATCGTACCTATGTTCTATAAACCGAAGATAGGTCCTTTAAGCTCAGCTTTTTTACTAAATCTTGCTCTACCCGTTCTTCCGGGAGAGCGGTTTGAAAAAAAGTGAAGTTTGAAAACTGTCTCTGTCATATTTAAATATATGAGTGCGGCAAAAAATTCAGGTTTCAGATGTCTACTGTCGACTGGCCGCTTCTAATTCAACGCTCAGCAGACCACATTCGTTTTCAAAGGTACTTCTATTTTTTTTGCAATGGGGCTCAAAAAGGCTAGTTACGCCACTGCTTATAGAATAGCACTAGAAACTTGTTATACGAGATGACACTTTGTAGGATTTTATTTGGACTCAACACTTTAAATAACAGTTGTAATTAAATTTAAATTATGAAAAATGCTTTCAGTTAAACCTTTCATTTGAATTATATATTTTTTAATTCATTTGGAGGATGCATTTTGGATGAACTTCTACTCTAGTATATAAATTTTATCGATCCATAATGAGACTTGTCTTTTCAAATTTAGGTACTAATATTTTGTACCAATACAGTTATGTGTAGGTACTTAATTTTTTTACTACATTTTATATGAATACTGATGAAGTTTGAAGAACTTTTTATGCGACACCAAAACAACTGTATCAATACAAAATACTAAGGAATGTCAATGTTTCAATTAGTTAATTTCTATCTACATAAATATTATACACAAAATAATGGCTCAAATTTCGATTTATCTCCCTTTTTTTACCGCTCCTTTATAGAGATCATATATAACTTTTTAAAGTTTTAAGTCTACACATATTTGAACGATATATCGACATACTTTATAAATATTAAATATATTATTTTGTTACGCTGAAAGAACGTCTTTCTGTATACCATATAGACAATTGCCTATGGCAAGAATCGAACTTACGACATAGGAAAGATATCCATTAATAAAAAATAAAGCACGTCGATATCTATATGTTTGTTTTCGATAAGTTAAATAGCTACGAACTATTTCAACAAAAGTTTGATGTTATTTGTTAAAAATATTTAATTACGACTGGTTTTGAGGTCTGTATCCATAAACTTTATTTCATTTAAAAAAAAAAGGTTTAAAGGCTGTACAGACTGTTCTGTGTATGAAAATATTTTTTTTTTCTAAAATACATAACTAAATATAGAGGAAATGTTTACGAATGGGATGTATACGATTAAGTCTTTGCTAATTATTTTTTTTCTTTTAAGAAAATATAACGTGGTATTTTTAATCTCCTTATCATTGATATTATAATGTGGCACAGTTATTAGTAAAATTTATTTTACTTTAATTAGCAGTGGAAATCGGTTTTTTTTTAATATAATTTTCCAACAATAGAGACTATTAGTTTAAAACTTTAAGACTAAGTTTATTTTATTATATTTATAAGGACACATAGTTTTCTTATTTTAATGATTTTTTATAGTTTTTTTTTATTTTTTTTAAAAAATACTTATTTTTTAATAAAATATCAATGACAGGAAATTAATGAAGTTAACATATAAAAGTGCCACCGGATTTTTTTTTATTTATCTAGTTTAAGGAGCTTTGGAAAATTCATTGACAATTTTTCAATAAATGATAGAGTCAGTTAAGGTACTTCTCATATCAATTTTTATCTTCGAATCGATATATGGCTACATCTTATTCCTTTTAAAATAAAATAAATTAAGTTTCATAACCGATTATTTCATTATAAGCGTTTGTCAAGACACCGATATATTTTGGTCTTATTGGATAGGAGTCATTCGTATAAATTTCGAATAACTTGCAATTATATTTGAAAAATCTTTTATTATTAATTATTTATATTCTGTGTTAAGGTGTCTCATTAGTTTTTTTTTTTTGAAAAAATTAATAGTCACATATATATTATAATAGATAGGACGTCACTTTGAAGCAATAATGAGTTTAAAAATTATGAAAACGCGTTATGTCATTCTAAATGTCAAATTTAAACAATAAAAAAATAAAAATAATAGTTTTTCATATTCTTTTCATAACCATATAATATATACATATACAAGTCAATTCAAAGGCATTGAAGATCCATTATAATCCATAATCGAGATTCAAAACATTTATCCGAGAAAATGTTATATATTAAAACATTCATTACACATCATATGGCAACATCGAAAGTCAGTCTGAAACGAGTTTAAAATCCTTTCAACACACCCTATCAGTCCAAAAGAATGCTTCACTTAACACCAAACAATTTTGAACTTTAACACCGATTAATAAAGACGAATTCTGTTCCACCCATTATATGGCAACATTGAAGTTCGTTACAACTTATAATAGATCAATATGCACTAGCGGTCGCGCCTTCGTATTTTCACCGCTAGATGCAATGCTTGCCCTCAAACGGGCGTTTCGTGATCCGCCTCGTCAATTCGTCCAAGACGCCATGCGTTTGGATCTGTCGCTGAAAAACACAGTTAAATAATTTATTTTTAATAAATTGATTATAGATGATAATAGTCTGCATATTTAGAAGGATTGGATAGGATCTTGTAAGGGATAAAACAATTGAGCAAAGATAAATTAAAGTAAAAGCAATAATATATAAATTAAATATGTGAGTTTTTGAATAATAAATATGATATGACAACTGATGATAATATTTAAGATTAAAAAAAAACAATAACAAATGTCAAGTGCTTTAATGTTTCAACTTGCTTTTTGCTTGTATTTGTCATAAAATATGGCTCTTTAGCTTTGGTGTTAAGGGAGTGTTGCTTTCATAATAAAAAAAAACAACTGTCCGTTTGGAAGTGCCAAATTGTGCAAGTAAATAATTTTAATTTCATAGTAAGTAGAATAGAAGGGCAATAATGAAAAAATAACAATGAAAACAAAAATTACCTGGAAATTTTTCGGTCTTCCGAACATGCTTTGGGTTTCGGTACTTAAGGATAGGACTTAGGGATAATTATTAAGATATTAATTATTATAAAGCTTCCTTAAAACCATATTTAACCTTAATTTATATTTGAAGTGAAGGTAACAAGATTTTAAAGCATCGTGGTGTAAGGTCAAGATATACGAACTTTTCAGTCATTTCCAAATACAAATCTGAATACAGATAATACACATAAAATAATTATGCAGAACAATAACTTATTTTGTTATTTGAGTACATTTGAATTTATTTAGTACATTGAGTACTGGCAGTTACAAATTTAAATCCTTACAAAATCTTGAACAGGAAATACTACTTCTGACAAAATAATTAATATATCAAAATTTTTAACAAAAAGCAAGTTGAGTGGATTTTGTAATCTGTGAAGTAAAGCTGTTGTGCTGTTTAAAGTATGCCAGTGACTCGCGCAAGTAACACAACACTAGCTATTAACAATGACTAAGCAAAGCATGTTTATCTCGACCCCTTGTGGATATTATATTCACAAATTAAATATCTAAATATAGATAATAGCACATATAAGACTAGGATCGACATTATAAATACGTGCAATTTTATTATAATTAATTTTTTTCTTTTTATACATGATGTAGCACAACATTATTAGGTAAAAGAAAAATATTAACTATAAATAACGTTAATGTCATGGAAAAGCGGTATTATATTATAGCACGAAAGTAATACTTATTGGTAAAAATATTATGTGCGTTAAATTGTACTTGTCACTAAATAAAACATATAAAAATACTTAAAAATGTCTACAAATGTTATTATTAAAATGTAGTCTTACACCTAATACCATAGACAATGCATACTTATAATATCAATATGACACAATACTTTGCATTTACGAATATGTACTTGTAAGATACATTAAAAAAAAAACAAATATTAGGGAATCACATCACGATGTAAAATTGAGCAATCGTTTTAAAAAAATAACTTAATTATTTATTTCGAGATTATTTAAAATAAAGCGAAAAATTTATTAGATTTTTATTTCGTGATGAAAGAGGCAAAGGACGGAATAAGGTTATATTGACAACCGTAATTTTTTTTAAAGGTGCATTTAAAGCTATATTTTTGCAACTCTAAATTTACAAGTTTCAAATTTATACAAATTATTTAATTTTCATCATAAGTTTAACTAGATAAAATCAAAAACGATTGCCAAAAACCACCAAAGTAATTGCTTAATTAAGTAAATATCAATTAATTAAAATATTAACGTTACACCTCAAAACAATATACCTTGTGCAAACGTGAAGAAAAATACAAAAAAAAACAAAAAGTCATCATTCGTACGAAATACTTGCAATTACAATAGTTGTGTTATTAAATATTATAAATTTATTAAAAAAATTAGCAACTAGTTACTAAGCCCATGATTTGTCACTGTCAACTGTCACATGTCAAGTGCAAACAAAGCATGAGGGGTCGTTAATTTTGTTAATAACTTTAAAATACTTAGTAGGGTTAAATAAAATATATAAAGAGTATATGGGTATGGGTAAATAGAGGGATTTATGTTTAATGGGGGGTAAAATGGGATTGTGGTGAGGGTAAATGGGGAAAATGGGTAAATCCGTTGTTCAGCAGGCGTGGGAGGGCGTCGGCAGCAACGGCGCGTGCTCGCCTGAAGTAGCGACACGTTACAAGCATAGTACATATATTAAGACATTTAATGGCAACATAAAATAAAAAAAATAGTAATTTAAAATAATTTACATTTTTTTATAATTTTTCTATTTTTAATAAAAAACTACATTTTATTGTTTTGCCAGTAAATGAACTTCGATGAAAACTATTGGACAGACAAAAAAATAATTTACTTGTTTTATTTAAATCAATAGGAAATACTTTAATTAAGTGGCATTTTAGGGTGAAAAATAACGAATTATGAATAAAAAAAGACGATTATTCAGATATTTCTTCCAGTAACAGGATAAAATCTAGATATTTTATACATATGCCATTCGAGTTTATACAATTCAGTATCGCATGCAAAACAATAATCGTACATGCCCCAAGACAATTATGTAGATTAATACTAATTATATGTATTTGATATTATAATATTTAATATTAGTTCCATAATTTTAACAAAAAATACACTAATAAAGAATAGATTAAGTTGTCTGGAAATATAACAAGCTATGCTAAGTTGAAAAAGCATGCAAAGGGTAAATAAAAAATCTGTCACATTATATCTTCAAGATAATTCATAGTTTACTTTTTAGCTATAATACTATTATAAAGAATATCGTGTAAATGGTCAATTTTTATGTAAAATTGGCCAAAATTCCTTTTCAAAAGCATTTTCTATATCTTAATCGTTCAATTAAATAAATAAATGGATTTCAATCACGGATGGAATCACGCGACACAAAACAACTTTGCCTAATGGGATCGAAGTCTAGATTGGAGTCTAGATATTCCATTATTTTCAATAGACTAACATTTTGAATGTGAAAAATTACGTGTAAATATTTTCTATAGTAAACAATAAAAATCTTCAACGGACTAAAGTTGTTAGTTTTGATGAAAACTTACACTGATTTATTCAATTTAAAAAAAAAGTGGAGGCAAGGCACCGGAGCCGAATAAATGATCGTTTCGTTTTGCTAATATTAAAGAAGAAAATATACTATGCGAATGCATATAATGTTATTGTTATAATTAATTGAGCTATATTTAATCAACTAGTTTAATGATAATTATTATTTTATATACAGTTTCGGAGAAATGAAGTATACAGTGAAGGAAAACATCGTGAGGAAATCTGTCTGAGAGAAATTAGCAAGTTTTCGAAAGACCGGTCTCAGTCCGCCCGCACTTGGCCTGCGTGGTGGGCTATGGCCTGATCCCCCTTGTATCCCCCATGTCCAGTAGTGGGACGTTAAAAAGGGCTGAATACAGGTATTAAGTGTTATGTAAGTGTGCACTAAATTTCTTTCTATAAGTAAATTGTTAAAAAAAAATTCCAAATAACAAATGTTTATGTTTAAATAAAAAAAAAATTAATGGAGATAAAAAACCTATCAAAAACACCATTCGTAACTAATTTAAATATGTAACTTTAGTAAGTATACTTTCGATTTAAAAAATAAATTGACAATATCAAATTCAATTTTATTTTATTTAAAAAAAACTTTTTTTTAACTATTATATTTTATTTTAAGATATAAGAAAAAGGTATTTACTTATATAACACTTAAAACCTGAAGATTACCCAAACTACACTTTACACCTGAAGATTACACAACTATTACTAACGTAATCTAATGTTCATACCATTTACAACACATGCACAATGCAAAACAAACCAATCTCACCTCTAAACCAATACAATAACGCATATATATTACCTTGCAACTGTCGATTCAATAAGGCGGTAATGCCAGGACCGTCACCGGCCTTCTTCACTACAAGCATAGGTTTGTCTTCGCCCTCTTCATAGCTATTGGGCAAATGACCATTGCTTACTGACATCGTTTCGCTTACCTGGAATAGTAATTGTAATATTTAGTGTATTTAATAAAATATTATGCAAAAATAGGGCTATAATCGAAGGCTAGTTGAATTTAGAAGTTTAGGAGTCAAAAAAGGAGTGGTGCTCAATGATAATAATATTGCAAAAGTTTATATTATACTAAGTTAAAACAAAAAAAATATTAAAATACCAAAATTTCTAGTAAACTGCAGGTGATTTATTAAATGTAAAATGATTCATAAATAGCGTATAAGTTTTATTATATACCAAATGCAAATTTTGTATACGCGCGTTTAGAAAGTTCACTTGGTAGACAATATAGTTCCTCGCTCACAATCCTGTAACGGACTAACGATTAAAGATAATATCTGTATCATGTTCATTTGTTAAATACAGATATAAATTTAACTGACTTAACGCTTAACTTTCAAAGCACAATTTTAATAGTTTAACATGTAACTAACTAAATCCCTTCAATCGATGTAATAATTTGATACCAGATAATCTGGTTAAGAAACCTGAAGGATAGTGGAACGTTGAAACAATGGCTATTAGTAAAATATTGAGCTCGTTTTGATGAGTCCCATACATAATACATTACAATAGATCAAAAGCATGGTAAAACTATAATTATCATGGCATTTCCCTTGCAATCATTAGAACGCAAACCGTATGTAGGTCGCGGCACAAATGAATAATTGCATCACACAATACGATATACCACGATAGTGTTCAGGCGAAAAAAGTGGAAAAGAAAAGGAAAGTGGCAATCAAGCCGAGTCGAATTGTCACGAATGATAAATGGAGAATGTAGTCAGTCTTCCATTATATTGAAAGGCCTGGTCATTTATTTAAAATATTTAAATGTTTCTTTTTTTTTAATATATGAGTATATTAGCCTTCTAGCGTCTAAGCTGTCTGTGTTTTTTGTTGTTTCTTAGTCAAATTACAAACTGATCTCGATGTTCAAACAAGAATAGATTCATAATTTAAAGGGTCTTTTTGATACAAGAAATAGTTTTCATGAGATAGCTGATAGCTAACACAATTTAAAATACATATGCAATAAAGTAATTTAGTTTTATTTTCCATTCTATTTTTATAAACAATAAAACCATCGTGATTACCAACAATATTTGTATGAAACGAAATAGGAAATGCATTCGTTTATCTTCTTATTTCTAGAAAGTCCACAACTAATGCACGTGATTATTCTATATTCTATATATCGTATAAAAAGTTGTTGAAATAGTCATTTAAGCGATCAAAGTTAAGCTTCAAATATCTACACTAATATTATAAAGAGAAATAGTTTGTAAGTTTGTGTGAAGGTAGTAATCTCTGTAACTACTGTATCGGTTCTGAAAATTCTTTCACTAATAGAAACTAACCTAACTTTAGATATTACCGCCAAACCTACTTTTTACTTCCATAAAATTTTGTTATCAATCAGAAATCATAATAACTTTAATTGAAGTCGGAAAAAAATGGCTGTTGAGTTACTTTATCGGCTATTTTTATTTGTAGTGACGCACGCGAGCGTATCTATAGTAAGTGCGTAGTGTTTTATTAAAAGCGAGTGAACCCACGAGAGGAAGTTATATTATAGATTTTATAAATCGAAGTCTACGCAAGTTAAACGTTTACCAAAGACTTTAAGTTCAACTTACCTGCATAAGCTTATGAACGACATCTCTACCAAGTATATGGTCGAAGACCGCTTGCAAGAAAGCATCGGATATGATCGACAGCTTCAATTTATCCCGATGCCACACTAACACTCTAGACTCTTCCATTGCCATTATTGACACCTGAAAAATCAATTTACTTTATATGTATGTATATGTGTATGTATGTACCTACTCAGCCCTTTGTAACGTCCCACCGTTGGGTACTAGCATCCCTTCTATATTTGAGGGGGATCCAAGCCATAGTCCACCACGCTGGCCAAGTGCGGGTTGGCGAATATCAGATATCTTTCGAAAACTTGCTAGGTTCTCTCAGTCACGCAGGTTTCCATACGATTTTTTCCTTCACCGTAAGACAAGTGGTAATCATGTTAGAAAATTGAGGTGCGACAGCTGGGATTTGAACCCACTTCACTCGGTTTCCCAAGCGAGCGCGTTAGGACTGCCCACTGGGGTACCACTGTCTTATGTACATATGTATATCTATTATCTACATATAATAATAACAATAGGGAATGCTGTTCATACGTTGAAATTTTGCTAAATATGTTTCGGTAAAGTTTAGGGTTCAGAAGTTAGAAAAACAATGTTCGTAATTTGTTTTGATTTAACATGATGTTAACATGTTTGGGCGGATTTTGATAGATTTATTGTATACACTCGAGGCCAGCGATAATGCGCTCGCGGTAGCGGAAAATTGAAGGAGGTTCGAATCCCGAGTCTCGCACGTATGATTCTCACCTTTTTTTTTAAGCTGGTATAGTTAAGGCTTAGGCTTCAAGTCATGTCATCTTATTAAAAGTATGAATTTTAGTTGTTTAGAATTAAATTTTGGAATTTCTACCAATATTATATAAGATCAGTGTTATATTTAACTTTTATAATTAATGTGTTTACATAATAATATAACATTTCTTTAACCTGGAAGAATTCATCTGTCGACACGCCGAACCACTCCGGCGAGTCCAAGAAATGATGTGGAAAAACAATGTGAAGCGCTCGTTGGTTCTGCGACACCACTAGCCTGGAACGTAACAATATTACGTTAGTAATAACAATTATTATAAATTAATTAAATAAAAAGGTACACCAAGTTCAAAATCAAATTGAAATTAATTATCTATACAGATAAATAAAATTAAAATGTCTGTTTGTAATATCAAAATAAAATTAAAAAAAAAACAGCTTTTTACTAAGTGCATATGAAATTATATACGGTACTTATAAAAAAAACACAAATTAAAAAAAAAAGTCTGTATGTCTGTGTGTTTCGGCTAATCTTCGAAACGGCTAGACTGATTTTGACAAGACTCACTGGCACATAGCTGATGTTATAAAGAGGAACTCAGGCTTTTGTTTTAGAAAATGAATTAGAATGCCGTTCAAAAAATTAAAACGTACCTACGGACGCACCCGAGCAACACGTGTCTAAGTCGCTGTAGTATATATAATATATGACACTAGTGACCCACAATCGTTCTCCTTTAGCCCTAATTACAACTAATAGTAAGCTTTTAACATGCCAAGAGAGAAAAAGTATGTCATTTTCCGGATCATAAATTATGCCCTAAGTAAAATATCATGTCGATACGCTGTCTCGTTGTAACGTTATCAAAAGGGCGCATATAGAAAATTTTTCGTATTAACTTTGGAACGACATAGGTATAAGAATATACCTATCATACTTAAGGCTTTGTTTGTAAGAGAACCTATATACAAGTACACCTACCTAGTTAGCCTGAATAAAACTTGAAAGTTACACTTTGAAACTGTAAGGAGAACAGTCAACATATCATGCCGAAGATAGATATAACTTGAAGCCTTTAGCGTAAGACCTAAATTAAGAAAAAATATCTCTTATGTTCGAAATAAATATAAAATATAACAAACTATTTCATCTCAGACGGATGTAACACAATTATCTTAAAACGGATATGATCACAGTCTAAACTCTAATGAAAGAAAATTTCTAAGCGACAGTAGACACGAAAAAAATGAACACTTCATAAAAGAAAGACTAAAGATTCTGTATGAGATGTGAAATCCCTCTCTCGCTAAGCGGCACTAGGTTAGAAAAACCAGCACAAACAAAAGAGGATATAAACTGAAACGAAATACTCTAAGACCGGGTTAATTAGTGCACGGGCCAAGTCAAAGGTCAAGCAATGAGAATAAAGGTTTAATTGCGAACATAACCTCTTTTACTTCTATGTGATTTATGTTAGAATGGCTGGAGCTTGCAGCTTCAAAGGCGGTTGGTTGAAACAGGCCATTTCACACTATACTGTGCACCGCGACTTCACTTAGATAAATAAAGAGTAAAGTTTCTATTTATTTCAATTTTACTGATGGACTTTGTACGTAGGTACGTATGTCTGTAACTGCATTGTTGATCTAGTGGCTAGGTTATACAAACCTGGGTTCGAGTCCCGGGTCAGGCGAAGTAAAGTTATTAGGTTTTCCTGTAACTACCAGGCGTTGGGAAGTTGGTAATATTATAACGCCAGTTTCGTAAAGCCCGTTAAGTCGTAGATCTTGCGTTTAATCTCTTAAAGGTCGTAGCGAATTGTCGTCCCATCGAACTTTCGAGGGTTAAAAAAGGAATGAGTGTTCACTTGTGTTTGCTCGCACTTGTACACTATAATAATATCGCTCATCTAGCTAGTCTCAGTGATTGAAATCGATCAGGACAACACTATCTTTCACGATTTGGTGGAAATAAAAAATCTGATTATATATATATATATATATATATATATATATATATATATATATATATATATATATATATATTACATCAACCTAATCTATAGTCTATATAATGAAACATTTAATGAAATTCAAGTTGTACACGAGAGATGTATGTATGTTTGACGTCTTATTGAATAATATGTATTAATTGACTTATGTAGAAGAAAAATATTGTAATCTATACATATAATAAAATTGTAACTAAGCCGAAACTGTACATTAAATAGTTTTTGGAAAATCTTATTGAAATAAACATTATTATCGATACAGAGGCCGAACCTATAGTTTTTAGAATTTTTGTCTGTCTGGTTACCGCATCACGGAAAAACCACTGGAGGGATTTTGATGAAATTTGATATGATGATAGCTGGTTATCCGGGTCAATATATAGGATATTTTTCACCGCGGGAAAATGTCTCATTTCTGAGAAAAAATACAAAAACTGCATTGTAAGAGTATACTAATATGTAAAACCTAAGAATTTGGTTTTTGGTCATTTGAACGCGGGCGGAGCCGCGGGCAGTGTTAATCTACTATATATAGTAATTAGTAGGGTAATAAAATATACTTGTATTTATCGTAGAAATTTAATTAAAAGTACGTTGTTGTTGGTGGTCTCATACTTTGGCCTAGTAAGTATCGCGAGGTCAATACGGCGCTTTAAACAAATTTTACTGCAGTGATTATGTTTTATTTGTATAAAAATCGTCCATCGCTACTGTTACTAATTTGGTTTTGCAATTTTTTCCTTAATTTTATTCGATTAATATGAATGAATGAAAGATTTGAAAATTCTAAAAATCAACAAGTATTCAATCCTTTTTAACGTCCCACTGCTGGAAACAGGCCTCCATTCAATACGAGGTTCCCTCACGATATTTACCATAAGACAAGCGGTAATCATGTTGAAAAGGATTAGCACATGAAAATATTAGGTTGCTGTGCCAGCTGTCGCGGGTTCGGGTCCTGCTGGGGCATTCATTTGTGTGATGCGCATGAGCACGAATGTTTGTACTCCAGTCATGTGTGTTTATGTTTACAATATGTATGTATTTAAAGTTATATACGTGTAGTGTGTCAACTATCTGGTATCCATAACACAAGCCTCGTAGCTTACCATGGAACTAGATGGTGCTGTGTGTTAATGTCCCAACATATTTATTAAAAATATATTTATATGTACATATAGAGTCAACACATCAGAAAAGATGATATATGAGTATCAAATGACTGTCAACCGCTAATACCTACAACCAGACAATAATAACATGTAATTTGAAACTGTAAAAGACACCAGAGCAATTAACTTCAATTACGGTAAGAAAAATCACGTGGTCTTTGTGAAATCACGTTGACTTATACGTATGTATATTAAATATTATAAATAGGTAAAGTTTGTGAGTTTGTAACGTTGTAGGGGGTAATCTCTGGATCTACTGAACCGATTTACATGAAATTTGGTAAAAAAATAGTTTTAGATCTTGGGAGGGACATAGGAAAATTTTGATCCCGGAAATCATCTCTTAAGGGGGTGAAAATGGGGATGAAAGTTTGTTTTGGGAATCAACCTAGGGACGAACCCGAGCGAAGCCAGGGTGAGTCGCTAGTGTATAATAAAATTCTAAGGGTGTCCAAGAGGTACATTACAGATTTTTTGAATAAAACTTACGTTTAGGATCCCTTAAACATAATGTTGAGTTGAAATGGATGTTTGAGATGAAATTATCTATCAAACATCCATTTCTCTATTATATATGAATTAAAAGAGGATTTTTACTTTTGGACTTAATGTTGTAGACTGCCCCATTCATGAAGTAATTAAGCCTTGATGAAGTTGCTAGTACGGCTTGCATATCCGGAGGTCATGGGTTCGGATATCTGGGTCGAGCCAATTAAGTTATGGTGTTACGAGCTTTTCGGTTAAAGAAACTATCAGGAGCAACCCGGAATTCGAGAATTGGCGGTGTAACACACCCGTGCCTAGAAAAGCACATAAAACTGTTAGTCCTGAGCATGATGCCTTGCCGGTTCGAATTATTCGAAAGAATTGTCGGTATCGAAGTGTAGTCCCACCGGACTTCGAGGGTGAAAGGAATAGAGTAACTGAAATCGGTAAGATATTACTATTATGTTCCAGTAAATTCAAAGGCACGAATAGGTTTGAAGATATAACTTAACTTGTGCTCATTAAAATTAAAATTTGTATCAGTGCCTACCGACGCACTTTGTTCAAAGGTGACCGGAACAAGCATAACTGTGTAAGTAATAAAAACATCCTCCAAACGAAAATCGAACCAACGACCATCGCGTTATAGGCTGTGCTAATTACATTAATTAATAATATAAAATATACAGTGTTTTATTGCATTGGCTGACCTCATTTTATATATACTCCTTCCTATATTTAAAAAAAATACTACTTCAATATGGTTCCAACGAGCTTGTTATTATTATATGGTCACTGTAAATGGTATCCAAGTAATTAACTAAATTAGAGGAATAAAGGCCTCGTATATCATCCAATATCACGTTTCTATGATACACAATTAGCTGTTATTGTGTTATGTAATAGTTCCCTTTGTATTGCAATTAGAAATGTATCGAGAGAATCAACCATAAAACCGATACATACATAGCTTGCTGAAATCATAACCGTCCGAAGTCAGCTAATAAATAAAACTAAAAGTGATACTACTACATTTCTAAATCCTCATATTGTAAAATCCATACTTAATATACATATCATGTCCATATCTTAATATTATAAATGTGGAAGCGTGTTTGTTGGTTTGTTTGTCCTTCTTTCACATCGAAACAGAGTGACAGAAACGCGTGATTTTTTGTGTTGAGATAGATGGAGGGCTGGAGAGTGACATAGGCCACTTTTACTGCGGAAAATTATCTCATTCCCACGGGATGACACGTTTTAATACAACCCACAACCACTCATCATACCTATGTTTATTATAATATATAATCTATTTATTAATTATATAATGTTAATGAATATTGTTTTCATTATTTCATTAGCTTTCTAAAAGTTGGTATATCCCTCATAAAGTACTCATCCAAGCCTAGCGGCATTATGCGTGAACGGTGAACAGTGTAAACTATATTATTACATGTATAAAATATCAGGTTTGGTCTTTGGATGCATCATTAGCCACGTGTTATCATAACCTTTAAATCCATTGTGAGGTAAGGTCGCAGGCTAAATGGATTTTCAAGGCTGGCAACCTGAAACGTTTATCTTGAACGCTTTTAAAAGAAAGT